CGATGGCCTAGCACTTTGGGGAATTGATTGTATCTCAAATTGTATCCATATAGCCAAGTATCCTTTTCTAAACAAATCAATCCTTAGTTGGCCCCTCAACTTTTCAACCCTTATCGATCAATTGACCATATGAGTTCCATAACAAAGCTACTTTTACCATTATATTCATCCATCCATTCAATTCCATATATCTCAGTTCCAGGAAGCCATAGGCCAAACCTTCCCAATAGTTCCTCTCTCAAACTCATGGTTTGTTGTAGAGTCAATTTTTTAACTCAAATTTTTTTATGCTCCAATACTAGCATGCAATACTGGAGGTGCAAGGCACAATGCTCAAAGTACTCACTTACCCAGGGCAAATCCTATCCAAAGGTTTAAACTCTACAAAGGTGTAAAGTGAATAACACTCCCCAAGGCCTGAAACGATTACACCTGCAGGTGTTTGACAAAATACCAAACTAACCATTAACCATTCTATTGACGTGTTGGCTGCTTCTCAACCTTGCACACGCCCCTTTTAACTTCTAAGTGCCATCCGGCATTCCTGTACAGCTCAGCAACAGTCAATATACTCCCAAAGACACAATTGACCTACCAAGTGACTTGCTGACAACATCTGTTAGCCCAAACAATGCCAAGTTTTGGCTTGTTTTTGCACTATGCTAAAGTGCAAGCAAGATACAAGCATGCACCAATTATTTGCAACCACCCTCAATCTTATCCAATCACCTAAAAAATATCTGACCTAGCTATAACCTATTATCTAGACATTTCCTTTCGATTCAATAGGTACTCAGCGGTCTTTTTCCTTAAAAAAAGAGTATTCTACAAACTTCCCACTATTGTATATATTTGCTATTGGTGCACCCTAACTTAACAACTAACAGCCCTTGTTACAAAGGTGAAAAATAATGAGATAGACCCAAGCAATTATGAGACAAATTGTTTCAAGCATCACTGGCCCTGCATCGATGAACCCTGTGTATTTAATGTGTTAACATAAACCAATAAAGATCTTGCAGTTCCATTTACATGGGTCAAGAGTGGCCAAACTGATTCCTAATCCACAAATTGTGAGGTCCTTTTCAACGGTACTTGAATCTTATGTCGCCATTATTTTGATACCAAGATTCACAAAGTGGACACTCTTGTTTCTTACAAGAATGATGGTTGCGATGACAACTAAAACTCCCTTTTCTTGCACTCGCTGGTTTCTGAATCTTTTACTCACATTTTGTATTGTAATGTAATTTAGAGGCAATTTTTTTTTTTTAATAACCGGGAGTCCAAGCTTTTCTCTCCTAGACTCAAGGCACCCACCCTAAGACCTAGACCCAGGAGACATCAAAGTTTTTAATGTTAAGCTCACTCGAAGGTTTAAACTTGAGGCCTTTAAGCCAGTAGGACCAAGAGACCCCAAGCTGATGGGTTCAATAAAATTTCACCTGAATAGAATGTTTGTTTGTTGTAGTTGTGGGAACTTAGAAGAAAATATGACACTTTTTTAATAAAGAAAAGCTGTTTACAGCCCCAACAAAACTAAACAAAAATAGAATAAAAATAAAATAGAGGTGGTAAATACAAACTAACTACTAATTGTCTAACTACTAGTTCATAGGAGCCCTGCTGGTTAAGCCTTATCATAGGTGAAACTACTACAAGGTCGGTAATGTCTAAAATATTTTCTCATAATTCTTCTCTATGCAACTTTTATTTGATCTCATTCTTTCCTGAACAAAAGCGTGTGTTTCTCATTGGAAAACAAAGAACAAAATGTTCAAAACCTCTATAGTAATTAGAAACATTTAAACCCTAGATATGAAATGAAGAACAAGAACAACAGCCATACCATAGGTATCCCAAGCTCTTTGAGATCATTTTCCCCCATTTGTTTCAAGGCAGTCATATCAACCTGCATCATAAAAACCTAATAAACCAAAGATTGGCAGGAAACTTGATCACTAGTACTCCTATTGGCCATAGATGACAAGGAAAGTCACAACAAATATTAATGTGATAGGATAATTGGTAGAGAGACTTTGTATTGAATTAAGCAGATAAGAAAGTGAATGGTTAAAAAATTCCTAGACTTTTCAACAGGTCTAAGTCTCTCCCTTACCCTAGTCACAACCAGAAACGATAGTGAAAATAATCTGAGGAAGTGAGCTTTTAAGTTTCAATACAGTAGGGTTCACATAGACAACAGCCATCACGGCAGCTCAAGTTTCTACATAGAAGCTTGCTGTAAAAGTAGGAAACTAACTGATATTGTTTTAGAATCAGTCGCTAAACACTACTGAATAAATGGATGACTTGAATAAATTAAGGTTAAAGACTAAGATGAATGTACTGGCAAGACGCACAAACCAACACCCACAGGAAAACTAGAGATAGACAGGTAAGATCATAGTAGACTTTACAGGTAAAATATCCTTATCTTGTAAATTATGCATGCTACAACTCACATACAAAGTAGAAAGAAGATAGAGAGCACCAAAGGTATAACAATTGACATTTATTTTTCCCTTTTGTATAAATTGGGGCAAGAAGCTCTATTAGTCAATCAAAACTATATGGCTCATACATGATTCTATTAGGGAAAAGTTCGTGTGTGTTAGACAGAAGAAAACCAATGCCCTATATGCCATCAGAAAAAAATAGTTTAAAACGGGAGATTTTAACATACTTCCTCAGCCTTAAAAAGAATGGAATATTTTCCCAATCCTAGAGAATGCAACACGCCATCTATACTTTGAAGTTCGTCACCCTGTAAATAACAAGTAAACAGGAAACACAAATTTCAAAGTTAAACATTTCATATGTTAAATTGGGAACGTGAAAATAAAATAGGAAACTGTTGCAGTAACCAGTCCTACAAAGTTAAAAAGATATCTTTTCTTTCAATTAAACCTATTTATGGGAAAAAGATTTAAAAGATCCAATACAAGCAAAACTCCAAGACAAAGAAAAGGTAAATTAATGATATCAGATACTTTATTACCTAAAACTCATAAGAAACTAAGATTAAGAAAATAAAATTATAGGTAATATCTTTCGACGTAAATTGAGAAGTGTGGAACTACAAGATATATATATAGAGACAGAGACAGAGACAGAGACAGATAGGCGTACATATATGATACATAATATATACATATAGATATACACACACATATGTATGCATGTACTCCCAAAACATTTGTCAACATTCAAAATTTCCAATAATTGAATCGTACAACCTTCTATGTTACTAGTTAGGTTTGATATTTTTGAACAATTTTTTAAATTTTTGAACAATACTAGTAGGTTTAATATTGTATGCCTCAATAATTTTTCATGGCATATCAACCAAAGCTGATTCCCATGGCTAATCTAATTTAACGACCCGTCAAGCATGTCAAGTTCTCAAGAAAGCTTCTACAAGAGCATAGGTAAGGCTTCTATTTGATTCTACTATTCTAGTTTATACATATGAAGCATGAAATGCAATTATTTTTCGTTCAAGGTGAAAGAATACAGTTGTTTAACTACTGAAATCTAACTCTTCTAACTATCACTTCGCTTCTCAAAATAAATTATAGTAGTACAGTTAATAGTCACATAATGTATCTTATGGAAGTTAAACTTTCTTCAAAAATCAATAGCTTATAATAACATACAACAATTACATTAATTAACATGTACACATTAGAACTATGATAACAAACCAAGTCAACCAAAACAGGCAGCAGCTGCTTATAAAGAAGGTCAAAAATATTTTAGTACATGGTAGAGAGAATAAAAAATAGATTGTACTTGATAAAGGGTTTTGTGTGCAATGCCACTTGGCGGAGGATGTAAGGGAACAAGAGGTGCCACTGGCTTTGCTGACGTTGGAGGCAATAGAGAATTTGTCATAAAAGTTGCAGAACTGACAGAACTTGAAGCATTGTGARCATCTTTGGCTGCGTAGCTCATTGATTTGACATTCTCGAATGAAAGGTTAGTTGGCCTTCTCTGTAGTTTCTCATCATCCCTTTGAAGAGAGTAGTGCCTTGAAGATTCTATAATTCTAGCCGGTGATCCTTGTCTTAAATTATCCATTGTCCAAGAGGAATAAGAACTTCCTAATGAGTCCTTTTGAGGCAAATCATCTGCAGTTCTACTTGAAGGAGCACGGCGTAAGATATTTGCATCATGCAATGGTGGATCTCGATGTCGTGAATCAAGATGACGAATAGGGGCTTGGTTTCCCTTAGGTAGCTTCTCCCGAAGGTCTAACGACCTCTCATTGTCACTTTGAGCACGTCTAAATGCATCTTTTTGTAGGAGTTTATATCGAAGGTCATTTTTACAAATGTGTGACACTGATTTTAAAAATAAAAGAAATTAGAGATTATATTAGAAGTTCATTAGCATGAAGAACAGTAAAATTAGGTTGGTATAAGTTCAATACCATCCAACCCATTAGAACTCCAATTTGACATACCATCATCTCCTCGTATTCTGCCAGGAAGATGAATAATAAGTGTAAATTCTTAAGGGGAGCAAAAAACAGAAAAATAGAAAGAAGCAGAAAAGAGAACTGAAAGAAAAAAATCCAGACTCCAGAAATGAAAACACATATTAATAGCCCAACATTTCTGATAATCACTAGCAATTCTAAGTTTTCTACGAATAATATTTTGTTTTCCTAAAGTGAATAACGTCACTTATTCATGCACTCAATCAAAATACACCAAAGGAAACTGCAAATAATTTTAAGACGAAATCATTAATCATCATCATCGAGTGATCGGAGTACCAAAAGTTGAGCAAACATGAAAACTCTAAGAATCTAAGTTATAACTTACGGCAGTGGATGAAAAGTAAAAGGAAAGAGCAATATACCGTTTGTTATTGACTTGGCTTCCATAAAACAGATCACTATCAAGGCTATTTCCCAATCTATCTCTTACAGACCGCTTAGTTCCAGACACGGGCCATGAATCAGAATCAGAAACGGAAACATTGGTACCTGGTCCAGCTTTTTTTACTACCTACAGAACAAAGTGATAGATAAAGGTTTAATAGAGTCAACGGAATAGCAACACAACGTTTCACTGATTCAATCAGACTTATTCAATCAGAGTAACTTAAATGAAAACAAAAGTCAAATTTTTGTTTCTAACTTTGCCCATTTTCTCGGAAAGAACATGATGGATAGACACATATAGAGATGACTCATTGAAGCAAGCAACAAACGAGAACCACATTCATCATGCATTAAGAGAAACCATTCGCAGCAGAACCAGAAACAAAATACATCAAGAATGGAACATGAGCAACAGCAAGTAAAGTGAAAGAACAATCGAAACCTGGCCGCTACCGCCGAGTGTAATGGTAACTCTACCACCCCTCGAAGTTGCAGACATGTTGAAATCAAACCCCAGGAGAAAAGTTGGTTTCAATTACTCATTGATTGGATGATGGCGCAGGGCAATGAGCAAGTACAGAGGTGGGTTCGGATCGGAATGAAAATACAAATACGAGAGTGTGGAATTTGATTTTGATTTTGATTTTGATTTTGATTTTAGGTCGAAAATAAGAACGCCGGCGTATACCTCTGATCTCTACTGAGAATGGAAACAGAGGGAGGACGAAGACGAAGCAGATTGCGGAACCAAAAAGAATTGGAAAATTTTGATAATCCCTCGTATTAGTATTTTAATTTCTTCATCTTATTTTCTTTCTTGTCGGTTCCAGTAGTTTTTTCGGCCCAGAAAGTTTTGTCTTAGTTTTGTCTTCTTATTCAAAACTTTCTTTTTTTTTTTTTAGAAAAGAGATAGCCTTCTTATTCAAAACTAATCGATTGTTTTATCTTTCAATCTGAATTTAGAGGAATATAGGTAAATTTTGGTTCTTTTTTTTTTCAGTAAAATATGATTTTGGTTCTTGAGTTTTAAAAGCTTGCACTTTTAATCAACAATGATWGAAACTGTGTCGCAATGGCCTTTAAACCTATTTCCCAAAACTTATATACATTCCACTCGACCAAGTCTAATTCTAATTGTTTTGTTGTGAAGTAATCCACAGGACGGTTCTCGTGACAAGAAACATTAGATTCTCTTTTGGGTAGGCCTTGAAAGGAGAAGTAAGGTTGGAATGCAAACCCACGTCTATTAAATTCATCTGATCCGGTAGTACCCTAGGCACTAACTAATGATTTTAAATTTCGTAGTTTGAAATTCGAGAAATGGTTTAAAATTTGTTACCTTGTGTGGGATGAGAATGATTTGAAAACAATATAATTAAACTTTTTTGTTTGGATGCTTGTTGGAAAGAAAATAAAATGAAAATTTTATAGTTTAGACTTTTAGGGAGTGTTTGGTCCCCATTTTCAAAACGGGGAGTAGGGTTTGTCTAACAAACTCACGTTTACTTCACAGTTTTATAAACTCCGAGTTTGCTACAATAAATACTCTTTCACTCCCCTGGTTGTTACAGAGGGAATGGTCCCTTGGCCTCTAATTTCCATATAAAGGACACGACGTGCATAATACCTTCTTTAACATCTATTCTAATGGACTGAATGTCTTTCCTAAGGAATCGGAGGAAGATTCCACGACTTTTTTTAGGAAACCCCCAACGAAAAATACACACTATTCCTTCTTTTCTATCGAATCGATCATAACCGCTACCTACATTCCACAAAATTATGCACCACAAATAATAGCTAATAAAGAGACCTGCGATCCCATAGAAAGACATCACGATCCCTGTGGAAAAAAAAAATATATTTGCTGAGACAAAAATAACGATCCTACTCCCCAAGGTGTTGCCGTTCATATTTTGTCTTTATTCTCTCCTATAAAATGCATTAATTTTTTAATTAAATAAATGAAGAAAGAATTAATTATAAATAAGCAAATTAATTTAATTAAAATTACATGTAACAAATAATTAATTCAGAGACAATTTTGTCTCTATTTTTTTTCAAATGATCCAAGAAAAACCTTTTTTTTTTTTGTTCTTGGTATCTATTTCTAGCTGTTTTTTTTCCATTTTATATAGTTGTTCATTTTTGTTCTACCATTTTTATTTRCTTTTTGTTATCACTATCACATTTGTAAAAAATGTTATAATTTTGTATAATTATCTATTTTAATTTTATATCTTCTTTTTAACTTATGAGTTAATAGTTTTTAAACCAGTATTATTTAAAAGGTTTCCACTTTTTAATAAAATGTAATTGACAAATAAAAATAATTGAAATTTAATAGTAATGTTAATGATAATTTAATCAATTTTTTTAGAATAATTAAGTTATCAGATTTACTTAAGATAGTAAATAATAAAAAATTAAATAAATTGCTGATAACATTTTCTCTACGGTAAAGTTTATGTCGAATGAATTTGTCATTCAACAAATTATCTTTCTCTGCTCAGTTGAGGGCAGAGATTGCCAATTTGACTGCAGCTCTGTGTCGCAGCCAAATTCCGGAGGCAATAGCAGGAGACGCAAATGCACCTAGGCCATCAGTCAGAGTCCGGGAAGTTGATGTGCAAG